TAGTAAATCTAAAATCTGTTCTTTGTCTCAAACACTCTTCGGGACTGAAGGGTGGCTGTAATAAAGCTAAAAGCATGACGTGGGTACAGAATAAATTTAGTCACAGCAGAAAGCAACAAAGAGGCAGCTGCTTAATAATCAGTGGATCAGTTATAGACTGTTTACAGAGAATCTAATTCAATGATTGTGATGTTAACTGCAACCAAAAGAAGATCAAAATAACATAAAAATATAATGGAAACATGAATCAGGTCATAAAATGTTACAAAGTTTATATTTCTGCCTCACCTTGCCTCTCAAGCATTTTTCCTTTCTTATTAATTCACAGAATTATCTTTATTTATCAAAATGTTATTGATTAATTATTTATTTATGTTTTGCATTGTTCCATGTTTTTATTTTCCTCAAACTTTTACTACTTTTCCTATGAATACAGAAGCAAGTCATCTGGATAATGTTTTATTTATGATTTTGGCCGGTTATGTCTTCCATAGATGCTAAGCTGCAGCTCAATATTAAGAACAAACTAATTGTATAGCACTTGTGACACATGGGCTCGGGTCACAAGAGATCCCTCTCGGTCAGATCATTTATATGGTATTTTTAGGTTTTAGATTATTTTCCTGGTCTGTATTTTTCAGACTATTCTTTTAACATAACCTTAGGATCGCAATAATAGAAAGTAACTAAAAATAAAAATAATACAATGAGATATGGGTGAAGAGAGAGCTGAATGTAAAAGCGAAGCTCTCAATTTACCGGTCGATCCTACCACCGCCAATCCGCCAGTCCTACCCTCACCTATGGTCACAAGCTGTGGGTAGTGACTGAAAGAGCAAGATTGCGGATACAAGCAGCAGAAATGAGCTTCCTCTGAAGGCTGCCTGGCCATTCTCTTAAGCTGGGCAAACACTAGGATTTTTTCAGCTGCGTTATTCAGCCCCTGCTCAAACGGTACGACTGAATCTCAGGGGTTAGAAGTTCATGAGTCACGATGCAGGGCCTGATGCTCTGATGCGACCTGAGTGCTCACACTGTGCGTCCATAACATGAAGCTTAACACAAAATCTGCATCTTGCTCACCCTCTCTCTCTTTCACTCACACAGACACACAGACACCACCATCAACTTTGCTAAATTGCTAATGAAAAACATTGACCAGGCAGCTGCAGTTGAGCAGCAGTGTCCATCCAACTCTTTTCACGGTTGTTGCGGTCGAGATGATTTTGTTAGACCACATCGAAAAGGCTCGGATGAGCTTGCCAAAGTTCTAACACTGCGCTGCCATGCTACTCCATCTTTTTTACTTCCATTTCTGTGTTTGCGCATGCGCAGTGTGAGAGGATGTGAGAGGTTGCATTGATATCCTGACGAGGGGCGACAGGATTTCAAACAGGTTTGATTTTCTTGCGACCATACGATTGCTGATCGGGAGCTGGTCGTGAGGTGTTAATCGCTTCTCGTTACCCCATGTATACTACACCATGCACGACACATGATTAAGGCGAAACTCGGGCCGATCCCCAAAACAGTCGCACAACTGAAAAATCGCCCAAAAATCGCACAGGTTATGCCCAGTTTTAGAGATAGGGTGAGAAGTTCGGCATCTGGGAGGGGCTCAGAGGAGAGCCATGCTCCTCCACATTGAAAGGAGCCAGTTGAGGGGGTTCGGGCATGTCCCACCGGGAGGAGGCCCCAGGGCAGACCCAGAACACGCTGGAGGGATTATATCTCTCGGCTGGCCTGCAGGACAAGCTGGAGGAGGTTGCATTTCCTGCAACGGCACGGCAGGTGCCGTTGCAGGAAATGCTTCCTCCCTAAACCAAGTATGGTATAAAGATCTGATTAGAACATTTTAGATGTAGCAAATTTAAAAAGGTACTCCCGTATGAGTTTAAAGAGGACATAAAAGGTAGTTTCAGCTGCTAAAACAGCATGGTTTCCATTCATCTTTATGTTTGTTTGTTTTTTTATCAGTATGCATTATGAAATGAATCTTGTGTGAACGGGTCATTTGACGCACAATGAAATCAGCTAATGTCTTACACAGAAACTCATCTGAGAAGAATAGAAAACAGCTGATGCGAGCGTACACACTGTGTCGAATCAGAAAACCTTTGTGATAACAGGCAGTATTTACACAGAAAAAGGCATTGAAGCCGTGCATTCCTTTCTATACGTCAGTCTCAGAAGACATTACGTAAGTGGCAGATCTCACACAACAGACAGGGCATGTGAACTATGCAAGGTCTTTCCTCTAAAATTAGTAAAGAGGAGCTCTGGAGGAGTCTCCAGACGCCAAGTCATTACATTCTTACAGTAAGGCACCAGTGAGCGACCTCTGAGGGTGCCCTCTTCAGAATGACTCCCTGCGATCCTGCGTAAGAAAAAGAAAATTCCTTCAGAAGTATTTCTGGTGTAATCTATTGTGGCATGCGCTCGTGTGATGACATACAGTCGTACAGATTTCAGACTGTCTTCTGGCCAAACAATGTGGAAAACATATATTCAGAAATATTTTTTCAATCATCAATCAATCTTAAGTATCAAGATGCCAAGATTACAGTGAGAGAAGAGAGATACGGGTCCTTGATTTTGTAACGAGTATTAGCTGAATAGAACAAGTAAGGAACATGAATCATTTCAGACTTTAAAAGCTGGTTTTGTAAGTTATCTTGAGCATGTGGGCATAGTGTTACCTGTTTGTATTCTGAGTGCAGATGATCATGTATACATCTTTCCTTACCCAACAAAGGTCGCATTTTATCACTCACGCATTTTCGAATTCCTTCTGCGTGACTCCGTGTGCAGCGACTGTGGGAAAATGTAATGACGAGTGCTCAAGTCTAAACATGTTTACAGAAGCATCACGAGGCACGTGTACAGGAGGCGATGGTACTGGACAAAGTGTGAGTCAGGTTCTTTGATAAAATTGTGAAATCTCAGAAATGTTCTGAGTCAGAGCTGCAGGCTGATGTGCCGAGCGATCCAGCCTCTAGATGTCAGACTGAGTTTTAAAACCAAACCAGGCTGCCAGGCTCACTCCTGCTTCTTGTGGGTCTGATTTAGAATATGCCAGAAAGACTTCAGATTAATGTGTTCCACCTTGAAATCATCACGTTTGTAAACCATCTCGAACTCAGAGCATAAATTATCTTTTATTTTTATACTACGCTACCAAAAAAAACACAATTTAGAATGTGAAGAGGGAAAGATGGAATTAGTTTAGAGTTCAAGACAAAATCTGTCTCTGTTATGTATTTATTTAAAAGAAATGTTGTAATTTTTTTCACACGCAGCTTTTTAGAAATTGGCTTTGATGCTGTGGGCTTCAACTTGAGCTCTGGAAAACTTTCAGGCCACATGATGATATATCAGATCATTATTTCTCAGAGCACTCAGCCATGAAAATAGTTACAAGATTCATACTTTGATTAATGTAATCATATAATTCTTTGTATTTCTGTTTATACTATAAGGAATACCTTTTAGCACCTGTAATTTTAAATACTGACTGCTTTAAATATATTCCTTTGCAAAAAGAGTTTTTCTCGTCTAGTTTGTGAAAATGGCTTCTGTGTCTTAAATTTTTGTCCTGATGTTATGTTGAAACAGAGCTGGAGTGAAGATAATAGAAAGGAGCAGATGATGCTCCTTGTGACCCTCCAAACCCCCAACACTCACACACAAACTGCTCTGAACAGTGATAGCTGCAGTGATTAAATTCCTGACCCTCGTTTCCCTTCAGATGGTGCGACATGATATTCCCACGTCATGCGCTGAAGGGGCAGCTCTCTCATGCCACAGGGCAGATTAGCGCTTTCTTCTTTGGACTCCATCAGCCGCAAATGTCGATCGAGACAAACTCGAATTTTAACGAACCTAAACGAGAGTTTTCGATTTTCAGTTTTTGCAGAAGCTCTTTGGGGGGGGGGGTTCACCTTTCTGCTCAGCTTTCCTCTCTGACGTGTCCCTGAGCTAACGTCAGCCTTGCTTGCAATCACCCACAAAGCCCTTATGCTGTCTGGGAAGAATGAAAAGGATTGACGTCTTTCTGGCCATCTGCCGCCTACCGATTCCTCTCCCATCCATCACTCTCCCCTGCCTCGCCCATCTCTAACTCTTCACTGAGAGGATTAAGTGTGTTGGTATCTCTGTCTTTGTCTCATTACAGCCTCGTGTGTAATGTGTGCATTCTGCTTATGTGTGTGTTGCAATCTTTCCACTCAGTAATATCTTTGTCTGCAGGATTTTTCCACTATCTTTAGTCACCAAACACTGACGCGTGTCCCCCTTTGACTGCAAATCCTCCCACAGATTGCACAAGTTCCTTTAGCAGCAGAGGAAACACAAGAGAAGTGCAGTTACTTTAAATAAATCTCTAAGATTTTATTACATACAGTATACACACAATCTGGACCTGTGACTCTGCATTGAGACTCAAGGATGTAGGGAGGCAGTTCATGAAGCTCAATTTGAAATGAAAGGCAGTTCAGTGGGACAGAAGATGATATTTTACAGCAATTAACAAATTTAAATAATAAGTAAGAGTAAAATAACAAGTAAATTTAAACAAACAACAAAATTGAAACAGCTTCTGGCCTAAAATTCGTCATTTCACACACCAGACCACAACAAAGAAAATACAAACCCTAGATAATATAGACAATATTAACATCAACAGTGACTGATGTCAGAGGGAATGAGGTAAAAGAGCACTGAGGATAAACATGTAAAGAGAACTGTATAAAAATACTGCCTGCCAGATGTAAAGTATCAGTTGGTATTTTTAAAGGACTAGTTCAACATTTTGAAAGATATTTGCTGTCTTAAATAGGAAGATCTATTTGTCTCGCGGCTTTCACGCACAAACTCATCGCACATGATGAGTTTTCACGTGTAGCACAAAACAGGAAAAAATCTGCTTTAGTCTGGTTCTCACTTTGGTTTGAATTCGAGTGGCGCCTGGGCATGCAGGAGGAAACCACATACCTTCTGTATTCTCATGCTGGCAAGTTATAGACTAATAAATGAAATGACTGAGATGCATTTTTATATTTCCACATTTACATTTGGTAACAGCTAGAAAAGCTTCATAGCTGCAGTCAGTTCACGTGTGAAAAACTCTACTTTCATTTCCGACAAGGTGACCCTGGAGCATCCGTTAGTTAAGTTGCAATAGGCTCAGACTGCAATGAGCATCTCGTTTTACTCCTTTGTTTCCTTTTCCCCAACCTCCCAGCCAGTCACAGCAGATGGCTTTCCTCCCTGAGTCTGGCACTGCTGGAGATTTCTTCCTGTCAGAAGAGAGTTTTTCCTTCCCACTGTCAACCGGCTGCTTGTTCAAAGGGGATCATCTGATTCTGGAGTTTTTCGGTCCAAAATACGATAGGGTCTCAAACGTAGTCAACTCAAAGCACCTTGAGTTGACTACTGTTCTGATTTGGAACTATATCGATAAAGCAGAATTAAAACGAGTACTTTCTATCAGTATACTAATTATAAAGCTACAGTTTACCTGCTAGTTTTCTCAGCCAAAACACTAGTAGGAATCAGCTATCCTGGCTATCTCCAAAGTGAAGTAAATCCACCAGTACTGGTGACCACCTGCAATGCAAGACTTTGAAAGGATCAAACTGTCACTCTAGTGAAAAATTTAACATCCAGCAAAAGTGCACATTTTAAATTCAGCTGTTAAACTTGTTAGAAAAAGACATCACCTGTTAATTAATGAGATTTAAAGGTGCTAGTAAATGTTTTATGACCTTGAAAGAGAACCAGGCCAGCCGTTTTCCACTGAAAGCTACCTGAAGTTCTACATATATTTACAGTTAATGATATTAGTCTTTAACTGTGAATACATTTTTCCTCGCTGCAAATGTCCTCAAAATGTCAAACTTTTCTTTTAAAAGTACATTTTTTTAAAACTTCCTTAAAGGGAAGCAAAGGGAATCTGAGCAAAACGAATTCCTGTTTGTGCGTTACAAGGCTGGTGAGAGCACCAGCAGACTTTTTTCATCAAGAGCAGACTCACATTCTCTGGCATCAGTTGAATTAGTGGACGTGTATGCATTTGGGAACATTTTAGGCTTGAGTGGATTTCAGAAGAAAAATTATAAATCAAGACTGGAGTAGATAAGATAAGGAGGAAAAGAAACTCTTTCAGCATCCAACCACAGGGCAAAAGTCTCAGGCCTGGTTTTTAAGGGCCTTCTTGGGAATATTACACTGCATTGCCATCATGACATTTTAAGATCCGTGCATGGAAAAATTAGCAATGCAACCCACTCCGTACCTCCACTGAAGAGTGAAGCTGAAAGTGGTTAAAACCTGTCGTAAAAGTGGAAACAAATCGACTGTGAAACACGCTGGTGGTGAAATCTGATCACGGCAGGTCGCACGGTGGGATGGTGTGCCTTCGATCGTAAGCAGTGTCATCGCTCTCCTCACCGTCACTTACTTCGCCCAGAACCCTCTCCCTCTCCTCTTCCTCCTCAGTTTCACTCTCTCGCCTCAGTCGCTCCCGCTCCCTGTCTCTTTCTCTCTCTCGGTCTCTCTCTCTCTCTCTGTAGGAGCGCGGCAGTGTGGGAATCTGAGAGTGTGAAGAGACCGAAATGAGATCATGCAGCCTGCACTGACTGACCAACATACTTAAATTTAACATGCTAAATGTTAAAGGTCTTTCCCAGGATGATGTCATCATAGTCATATTATTAGGTTCAAGGCTTTGAGTTTATCTGCATCCAGAAATCTTTGATGCATTTTCAATATACATGATAAAGTGGGCATATTATATTAATTTCTCTGTAGTTTTATTTTTGGTTTTTTAAACTCTATTAGAGTAGCTTTACATGATTTGCAGTTCAAAATACTCCTTAGTTATCTTAATGCATCTGAGGGTTTTAACAGCAGGTGAGTGGGGTTTCTGTGATGTCATACAGAGCTAAGAATTGGAAAAAAAAGCCTTTAGAGTAGTGTCAAGGCTAAGCTTTTGGTATATTTATACTGAACTGGTAAAATGACCCTATTAAAACATTAAAACATCAAACATTTGGTCAATTACAAGTTACAAAACTATAGACACATATTCGTAATATTCAAGAAACTCTATGCTAAATAACAAGGATAACAAGAAGATTTAGATTTCTAATGTATGTACTAACTGCCATCTGTCTTTAAAGTATAAGGTAGAAAGTACGTACCTGATTGTCATGGCTGGGCAGGACACAATATCCCGGCTCTGTCCTGCGCAGGAGGCGTGGGGAATGAGTACGGAAAGGCCTGGGAGAGTGGGAACAGACGGAACGCGGAGAGGGAGAACTGATGGAGCGTGGTGACGGAGACCGGACAGAACGGGATGGCGAGTAAGTGATGGAGTGGGATTGGGAGAGTATGTGACTGTGGTGGTTTTGTTTGGGTGGGCGAGGGGAACGAGGAGGCAGCTCGGGCGGTTTGAGAGGGTCGACCATGTCCATCTCCGTGAGGATTGGCGGCGGAGGGACGAAATCGAGCTCCCCCTCTTGCGGGAGCGTTTGCATTTCGGCTGCATCAAGTTCGGTGAGCTCCGTCTTTGACAAGTGATCCACAATCCCGGCACCAAATGAGTCGCCAACGACATTGATGGAGGTACGCATTCGGTCACTGAGTGGACAAATGGCATCAGTGTCAGTGAGTGAAACAACGTCTTAGTGATACCAACATTTTCACAACCTCTTGCATACGTTAATTATAGCACCCTAACATGGATTGCAGAGCAGTGATTTGTTATTGCCTGCTCATCAGACACCTGACTCACAGCAGCCAGTCGACAGCGATCAGCAGACTGATGTCCTGGGTAGGCAGGCCGACAGCTGTCAGGATCAGTAGCATGGTTACCAGTCCAGCGCTAGGAATACTGGCGGCTCCAACACTGGCCAGTGTGGCGGTCATACTGGAGAGAAGAGATGGGAAAAAGGTATATTTAAATCACGCTTGCAGTAATGTGCTGTAGGCAGGCAGAGATAATCAAATTGTGATTTTAGTGACGATTCTGGCTTTTTCCCATTTTCACAGTTATGCTCATATGGCCTTTTCCATTCAGTCAATCAATCAAGTGCAACCCTTTCATCATTCCCTAATAGTTCAGCTTGAGTCAAGTGTCAGACATCCCTGTAACTACTGTGCTGCCCTAGGCCTCTTTTTGCCTTTTTTTCCTATCTGCATAAATCAAAGGACACACTGGGTGTCTTTAAATTCTGTGTCTAGTACTACCTAGTAATGCAGGTCTAAGCTAAAGCAAATTAAATAGCATGGCCTCCATCAGTTTTTCCAATAGATATCCTTTCTTTGATTACATAGCAGTTGTATCCGCTGAGTGATGTGGGCTGGCAACAGACATTACTTTTTTCATAGTTTTCTGAACACTCGCCAAAAATGGTAGACTGAAAAATGCAAAAGTGAACTAATTCCACATGCAAAAGGAGATGTGTGATGGAAAAAATATATGAAAAAATAATTAAACCCAACTGTAAAACCAGACCATTGTGCTCAAAAACCACTGAAACACCAGAAAAGGCTTAACCGAAACCACATTTAATATTGGAACTCACCAATTCATGCTTTCACTGCTGATTCAGCATGTTTAGTCAGTCATGTGGCAGCCAAAAGCACAATTAGCTTAAAGTTAAAGACTTTAAATTGTAGCGAGAGGTGAGTTTTAGTTTTACGTGTTTATAATATCACCATATAAAAAAAATCAAAAACCTTAATCTGTCTCCACCCACAAAGATTTACACATGGAGTGGTCCAGTATTCTGTTTCTCAACATCACACACCAACAAGTCTCGGATTTATGTGAGCTCATTTACGTGTATTTCATCAATGCAATGCTTGTATAAAGTACATGAGGATAGAAAGGACTCAGTTCCTCTGTCCACAACAAAAGATGTTTCCTAAAGTAAAACTTTAAAGACTCTGAAAAATGCTGCTTGTCATGGCATGTCTGCAATTAGAGAATTATCAGTAACCACAGGGGCCTGAAGGCCAGCCAGTTTAGATACAGCTCTAAACTGTGATATTTACTGCATGAAGCTATTCATCTGTTATTAGTTACATCTCAATTGTGTCTGACAAACTGCAGTGCCAATTATCACCACGCTGTGACTGGGAGATTGAGTGGGGCAGATTTATGTAGTACATATGGATTTTATTTCAGTTTCATCACACAAAAACCATACAGCATTTTCTTAAAATTCGATTTCGTGGTAAACAGCCGTTGATGAAAGACACACAATAAACAACTTCAAAGTGCTGAGCGTTATTTGTAACCCGCGGCCACAACAAGCAGAATCTGATCCAAGCAGACTGGATCCAATCCCCTGCTCAAACCTCAGAAATGGGAGATGAATATTTCTTTACTTCCTTCCATATTTATTTCTATACCTCGTAACATACTTGATGCAAGTTGTTTGAAAATGAACTAAAGCATGCAGACTGTACACTTCTGTAAATGCAGAAAAGAAAATGAATGAACGAGTTCCAATGTGTTTGTGTTGCTGGTTTCTCGATAAAGATGCACCGAGACATTTGATGAGTGAAATTATTTGTAATTTATCTGAATGTTGCCTAACACTAATCAGCTGGTATTTGTGCAGGCATAAAAGCTACAGATGCAGATTGCTAAACAAGCTTTAGGTGTTAGCTGGAAACTTAGCGCTCCTCTTGTCCAGCTGCAGTCACTTCTGGTTCCAAAACATGTCCATCTTTTATATACAGTCAAGTCAAACGTCACTTTCCATTCATCTATGTTTGACGCAGGACGAGAGACTTCAGGATGAGTCAGAACATAATGGATATTTTTCCCTTTTTACTAATATTTGAATCAGAATGAACTTTGACACAAAAACCTTACAGCAGGACGGGCTGACACGGCATTCAGGGAATATTGTTTGTTAATATCCTTCTTAGGAAAAATAACAGAGAGCAGGACAAAAAAGGAACCTGTTCTGGTGCAATCAGGTGACAGAGACCGTGATGGAGGCTACTTACACTAATGTGCACAGCGGTTTATGTTTACATTCACACCCCCACAATTTCCTGTCCCATCCTGCTTTTGGCCACAGCATGTGAGTAAATTGTGCCAGGTGCTTTTTCCTCTGGCTAAACACATGACCGTCTACCACCTAGTTTACTCAGCTGATGGCATAAACAACAACAAAAAGACAACAAACAGCTTGTCACAAGGGCCTCAAAGGTGCTCCAACATCCATGCTTAAGCATTATGAAGCGTTTCACGTCAATATCAGCACAAATTTAAATGTATATGTAGAATCAGAATATATGCATAAAGTTTTATTATTTATTTGCATCTCATGTTGTGTCACTTCTGATTTTGTTGGTAACTAAAACATTCTGTGTGTTGAAATAATCAATGCAAATGTTTCTACACTTTCTACAAAAGTCAGTCCATCCTCTTTATAAACTGCACGCCTAGCTAGCGTTGCAGGGTAGCTCAAGCTTCTCCCAGATGACACTGAGCGAGGGATGTTGGTTCCTGCAAAGGTCATCGGTTCATCACAGCGCTGCAAACCAGATAGACAAGACAACCATTCTTGCTCATAGCCACACCCTGACTCCCATTCTGGGAGACCAATCAACCTAAAATGCAAGCCTTTGCACAGTGGAAGGAAGTTGGAGCACTCGGAGAAAACCCACGCAGGCACAGGGAAAACATGCAAACTCCACACGGGAAGGCCCCAGCTGACCTCGAGGTGCAGATCCAGAACTTTCTTGTGTGCAACTACATTGCTAACCACTATACCGCTGTGTGGACTGGTTAAGGTCCAGTGTATAGATATTAAAACCACTTTGGTTTGTTCTGTTTCTTTTATGAAAAATGTAAATAGAAGAAAAAGCAGTGCTTGGAATCTGAGTAGGTTAAGTAGAAGATAAATGTTTTTTGCTCTTGGTTTTGGAAACGAATAGCTGGCTGGCAAAGATGCTGTAAGGCATCTTCAGAAGCAGCCAAGTAAGGAAACTATTAAAGGCTTATAGTTGATGTGGGAGAAAGAGCAGCGGCGCCTCAACGGTGCTGCTTTCTGATAATGAAACCTGAGTCATGAGAGTCAAGTCACCATGTGGTTTACCTGACAGTAACGATCTGCCCAGAGTCCAGGGTGATGTCATTCATTTGGGCAATAAAGATGGCGGCCACGGCTTCGTACAAGGCAGTGCCGTCCATGTTAATGGTGGCACCTATGGGAAGCACGAAGCGAGTCACACGCTTATCAATCTTCAGATTTTCCTCAAGGCAGCGAAAGGTGACCGGCAATGTCCCGGCGCTGAAAGAAGAAGGCCACACAAGAAGGCGAGTTAGAGGGAAAAAAGGTGCAGATGTACCCGGAGCAGGCGCAAAGTGTCTGCTGAGGGATATAAAATAGGCAGACAGGTGGTGAAAGGCATAAGTGCAGAGGTGAGGGCGAAGGGAAGAGACAACAATTAAAAAAGGCAGGAGAAATTTGAGTCGGCCGACAGCCTCGTCCTAACAGCTGGGGTAGGCCACTGTTTCAATCCTCCAACATGTGAATTAAAGGAATTTGATTCCCGGCCCCGCTGAGGTCGGGTCATAATATAATTAGAGAAAACGTTGATAGGATTACCCATATTCACTAAAGCCTCAGTAATGTGCCAAAATAACAGTTGGTTTCAGCAGCAATGCTGAATCCCAGGCAGGCTGGGCCAAGCCAAGCCGGGCAGGATACAGCGGGGCCAGTTTGGCTGGTGGCAACTAATCCGAAGGCTTAGATACTTACAACACAGAATCTGTCCGACATGGACTCGTCTATGATAGCCTGCGCTTTGGCTCTGCTGTCCTGATTTGTCAGTGTAGCTGCATAAATACAGATTTTTGCCTTCAGGCCTTTCAGATTTAACCCAAATAGCTGAAAGCGAGTAGCAGGCTACGCCGATCAATCACGGTAACTACAACAGCTGTCCGAGCAATACGTGTTGTAAAAGAAATATGTGACACACATGTGTGAACACATGCCCAAACAGACGACTTCCAAACATACATATGCACTTCCTGCAAGCTGTCATACCTGCTAGCAGTGCCCAAGGCTGTGATCCATGCCTGGAAGATCCCAGAGTAGAAAGCAAAGGGGCTTTTTCTGGTGATTGCAAAGAATATAGCGGGTAGGATCAAGCCCCCGTGGATCACCAGACCCACAATGACAGTCACCATGTACATGCCCAGCTGCCTGGCTACCACCTCCAGGTCCCCGATAGCTGCGATCTTTCCCGCAATCAGAGAGGCGATGCCGACAGGAGAGTACCTGGACGAAGACATCACAGCAGAAATTATTTGATTGGGACTGATTATGGTTTATGTTCCATTAAACTCCATTTAGTATACACTATATATGTGTATGTACATAAATATTTCTTTCTGCTTTTTTAAACTGACTTAATTTATTAATTATGGATGAATTACAACAAAGGACAAGGTGTCCACAGGTCTTTTGAAGGCTACTCTTTCTACTTTACTATTCTTTAAAATAATATTTAAGATCAAACCTGTAATGGAAAATACAAACTTTATATATATAGCCAAGCACAAAAGTTCACACAAAAGTAAAAAGACAAAAAATGGCTTTGTTTAGGAACACAAGTGTGTGTTAATGTGAAAACAACATAATCATTGTCAACGTCCCAAACATTAAAAAAAATGTTTCACATGCAGTGCTATTGTTCTATTAAATATTTCTATGAACTGGCTTCAACCACTAAGAGTTATTGGTGGTTACCACCTTAGCTGTTTGTCAGTGAACTCACCATGTCTGCATGTTACTGCCAGGATCACATTTCAGTATTTTAAGATGTTTTCTGACACAACAACCATTAAATAAGCCAATAATTAGCCCATAAGCGTCCTGTTGCCATTAACTATATTTACACATATAAAACACATTTAAATGGGATAGCAGAACAATAAACAATGCCGCAGAAATGGTGGCACTGTGTTCTAGTAATCCATGTGGTGACATGACTATAAATTTTACAAAGCCTTTTATAAATTGATGTGAATTTAAGATATTTTAAGAATATTTAAGGAGCTGTAGCCACCCTGTTACTTTTTTTTAATGTCAGGCCAACGTTTTCGCCACCTCATAAATCTTTAGTCACTGTCAAAGAAGCACGTTTCTCTGCAAGGGGACAGGACACATGCTTGGATCTCTGGTTTCCAGCTCTGGAGAGCAGTTGTCCCTGTTCATGAATACAGACTGCAGTTATTGGGACACTTGAATTAAAGCGACTCCTTGTCCCATCATGAGACGGTGCATTCTCCCAGGTCAGCTGGCATCCAGTGACAGTTGTTTGGTGCGGTATGCCATGTATATGATTTGATAGATATGCCCCTTGTATGATGCGTGCTTTTTGTATACACTGGATTCTGTGTTTGGCTCGCACCATAAGCCCGTGAGTAATCTGTTTACACTGAGTGAGTGATACAGACAATGATACAGTTCCTTTGGTGTCCAGCTGCACATGTAGAGGAGGCTTAGAGGAGCTGCGAGACAAGCATCCTGCTGTTTCTCGTCCAACCGCCTACTCTACTCCTCCTTTCCTTTCCCATCCCCGCTCCGAGTACCGCTACACTTTCTCTGCGCCACTTGCCTGGGCTCTGTGAAGCCTCAAGACGTGCACTGCTCTCTGAAGGAATGCTCTCACATGCATCTTTTTACGTCCCTCCTGCCCGCATCTGCTTTCTGCTCTGCCACCAAGTAGCTCCTCTGTCATCGATGGATCCATTACATTCTGGAGATCTTCCACCGCGGCTCCCCTGGGAGCCCACAACGCTGTTCCGGGCCCCGGCTCCTGCTACTCCCCAGCATACCACAGACTCCAGCATGTCCCAGGGAAACCATCTCCCTCTTTCCATCTGTCTGTGTCCTTCACTGACACACTTTCTCCCTCTTCCTCTTTGTTTTTTTTCCTATCTGACCTTGCTGCTTGTTCCCACAATTTGCCTCAAGCACACAGTCTTCGCCTTATCCATCACTGTCTCCGACCGTTGTATGCGGTATCGCCAAAATGTCAAACGTTGGCCACCAAGAGGAAAAACAGAGGCACGCACTTTTTAAACACAGACACACAAATACGAATGAAGGAATACAAGACACCGACCACATGATCATGGACACCATCGTCATGATAATTTCATTGAGGATGTTGAAGAAGTCACACATGACCTTCCCACGCTCGCCCATCCGGCCCATGCAGATCCCAAAGGTGATGAAGAAGCCAATTAAACCTTGACAAAAACACAAAGCAAGCGAGTAAGTGGAAAAATGAGAACAAATAACCAAAAAGAGACCTGGAAAACGCAAGCGTCTCGCAATACGAACTCTGTTATCAACTCACCGAGGACGTTCATGCCCCATTTGTATTCCAGTTTTTTTCTGTTCACTAATATGGGCTCAGTTTGGTTTGGTGCTGCGACCGGCACCTTTTTCAGCACCGTCTGAACCTGAAGGAAACACGGGGCGACATTCAGATTATTCTGTGGTTTGTGCTGGGGTGCTTAGATTTTGTAACTCCCATTGTGTGTGAACAAACAAAGTTTTGGCAGCGGCACGACGTGCTCTGATTTCTGTTTAAAGAAAAGGCAAAAGAGAAACATAAATACAACAAAGGGAAAGAAAAAGGAGACGAAAAGGCTGAAAGGGGGAGGACAATTCCCTGCTGCTAAAGCGGTGACTTACATGAATTTACTGAATTCCTGATGAATATGAACAAAGACGCAGTTTAAAATAAAGATGCAGACAGGAATAAAGCTCTCGGTTCACCAGCAGATGCCTTACTGCACTAAATAAGCATGTGGCTTTGCAGCTGTAAAGAGATTAGCGGTAGCTGCAGGACGGCTGACCATCGCCCAGTCAAACACAGACAACTACTTCTAATCATTCAGACGAACACGCATGACAGAAAAAACAGGATTGGACAGAAGAAGGCAACTGCAGCATCACAAAAACACAAGCCGCTTCCTGAATTGTCCCTCTTCGACGGCACCATTAGCACTAACTCACAATACATTACAAAGAATGGAAAAAAGCAACCCTAGATCTATTTTATAAATGACTTGATGAATTGCAATGGCACTGATTTATCTTCTTTTAGTATGTAAGACGTGTTTTCAGTGGTTCAGTTGATAAGCTCTATATTAGTATTTGTTTTAAACTAGATTATTACACTCTGGGCCCTGGGTGGGCAACAAACTGTCCCAGAACTGTTGTGGAGATCTGCACCAATGATCTGAACTCATTTCTGTTTAATATTAATTTAATTTTATAAGTTTATTACTGCGGCAATCCACACCAGTCCCAGTTTTTCATGTTGCCCCTTTAGAAAACGAGTTGCCCACCCCTGCTGGGGATGGGTTTGGCTTTGACTCCTGTGATCTTTCTGTGTGGAGTTTGCATACTCTCCCCACACCTGCGTGAGGTCTCCCGTGAGTACCCTGGCTTCCTCCAACAGTCCAAAGAGTTGCGTGGCCTCTTAGCCTCTTTCTAGCCAAATGAAGCCTTTGAATCAGTCCAGACAACATATGTAAAAATTGTTACGTATGAAGTTTGGAGAACAGCTAACCTCTCTGGAGAACCATAAGTTTTTAAGAACTCTGTCCGAGTCCTTCATTCTCTCAAACTGCTCAGTAATCCCTTATCCAGAAAAGTTCATCTCCTCAAATGTGGCCTGGGGCACAAGCAAGACTTTCCAATATGATACACTTTGAATAATAATTATTAGCAATAATAATTGTTGACAATCGCTGACAAAACAATCACAATTCAGGATCCAAGTGGTAGCTGTTTTGGAAACTTAAATCTGTAGTTTGCAACTATTAACATGAAGCACATGCAGCACATGAAGCACATGCAGCACATGAAGCGATGTCTGTGAACATTCACTCAAATTAAAGAGGAAATTTATCTTGAAAAACAAAAATACAATTTTAATAAACTTCAGATATTATTTATTTACCATTTTTTTCTCTATTCAGTGTAGTTTGATTATCATCACCTTAAAGCTGAATGATGCAAATTTCATATAAGGAATGTAGAGCCTTACCAAAAGCTTTGATGCTGAAAGTCCCAGCAAAGCAATACTGGGGAACACTCGCGTTTTATTAAAAGGAAACGTATTAGTCAAGAATCTTTCTTTGCTATGTTTATATTAACATTTTCAGTTTGCGTGAAAGCTTATGGTTCAAGATGAGCCAAGATAATGAAGCAGTAGATGGTTAATGTGGAGGGTACCTGCTGGAAGCAGGCTTGCACCAGGTTTTCTGGGAAGAGGTTTCGAATCAGGTCAAGGAAAGCGTCCAGACTGCTGACTTCCTGGTTTTTCGTGGATGTGGATGATGAGTTGCCTCCCCTCAGTTTAGGGTTCCCTGGGTGGATCCCCAACACCAGGATGACCCCGAGGACGGCAGCGATTACAGTGGTGGACATGTAGTACACCATGGCTCGGCTACCCATCCTTCCACTGGAGCGCGCGTCTAGACCAGCAAGCCCTACAAGAGACAGACAACAGATTTAAAACAACGTGTGTCCAAGTCCACAGAGTCAATAACAGCGTCTTTACCTCGAAGCTCGAGTTTCCCAGTACTTTAAACTGCAAATACCTCCTGTAGAGTGTTTAAAGTTTGATACATGTTTTTTGGATAAACCGCTGGCTTTTTAGTTTTTAGCTTTTCACATGCTAATTCATGAATCAACTCAGGTGGCTCTAGCTGGCTAGCTTTTTAGAAAAACCAATTTTTTCACAAGTGTTTGCAAAGGCAAACTGCATGGGTAGGTCCTTGATTTTATACACCTGTGACGATGGGACTGAAAACACTTGAATTCAAAAATTAATGCAGCATTGCTTTTGCCTTGGAGGCTGGATGCTTGAGCTATCAGTCCTGAATTCACTGTGTTCCAGTGGCAAAGTCAGAAAAGCTATGAAATACTGGATTTCTTTTTGCTTCTTAGCAAGGTAGAGTCATTCATATATCACTAGCAATACAGTGGAATGGTTCTTTATTTTTTTGTGCTTATAAACATGCAGCATATTCACAAATAGAGTCGAGCTGAAGAGATTGCAATTAATTTCCAAAGGGTCCACCTTCAAAACTGGGACTCTTTTAAGGAGAGATTTTATGGTGGATTTTAAGCAGAACTGGGCACTTCTTATTGTAGATTGCAGATTTTTATTAACTGTGTATTTGTGACCTATTTATCAACACAACAGTGGCAGTGCAGTGGCAGAGTACGAGTTTTACAGTTTCATTAATATTTACATGGGCTGCAACCAAGTCAAGGTTGGTGGGGTTGTTTTCTGATTTGGAAGTCCGACTTGAGGGGAATGTTCCAGTTGAAAAATCCAACTAGGAAATTCCAATTTCCAGCTTCAGATGGAACACACCATAAGAGGAGTGGCTCAATACTTTTACCTACATTGTGTATGTTTGTGTGACGCTCCCATACAGTCTTAGATGCACCTTCCTAACCAAACTTGGTAGAGTTAATTTGCTTGAGTTAGCTTATAACAGAAATCCACCCTTTTGTCCAAATATGGTAACTTCTGACTAATAAGTACACGTAGTCCTGTAGACTACATGTACATGCAATAGTCCATTAGTTCTACTAATGTCAGAATTTAAACTTTTCTACAGTTAACATATTAACATGTTTAGTTTAGTTTAGTTTATTATGGTTAAAGTTCAGGAGTATGAGGTTGTAGTTGGTTAGTAATCACTGGTGACAATGAGTGTGCCCTAAATTATGCACACACTGGACAATCATCCGTTACAGTGTTAACACAGTATTGGTTACTTTTTAACTTATTAAAACCAGCATGATGCTGTCTATAACGGCCACACCTGTGATAAGGCTGGAGATGATAAGAGGCAGGATGAGCATCTTCAGCATCCTCATAAGGATTTCTCCAGGAAAGGAAACCATTGTGAGGGCGGCGCTGTCTGTCACCTGCATGTACCGCAGCATCATCCCAAAAACGGCTCCCATGACGACGCCTGAGGAGCGGAAAAAAATAAGCTAATTACAGAGTTTTGTTTTTGTGCAGCAGTTGTTTAGCCAATCATGTCTGCATTCATTTCCCAAACCATTAAAAAGGCATACTATGTTTCCATGCCTCCCATAATAGCACAGGCTATTGTTTTAGTTTCCAGACAAGTCGAAACGCATGCCTAAACACTACCTTATGTGCACATTTAAAAATCTAATGAATATTGGTTTAAAAAATGAGTTCCAAATGTCACAAATATGTAAAACTCAGTAGTAATATTAACCGTGTCAGAAATCACCCTCAGTTTATAACCTTTCGGCAGACTCATTAGCCTTTTTTGTGAGGGCCCCTAACACTGTGTTTAACGTTGGAGATGCAAGAGATCGCTGACTAATGAGAGCCATCTACTGAAATGTAAACAAGTTCATATCAAGGTTTAAATCTATGTGACAAATTGCAGACAAAAATAACACACTCCTTGACTCTGCAGGCTTTTTTTTTGACAAAACACACAGCTGTGGAGAAACATACCAAAGTGTTTACAGTGGCAGAGCAAAGACAACAACAAGCCTAAGACATCTCATGGGAAAATGATCTCGGAGTATTTACATCAAGGTTTGCGTGTGGTAATTTTTGCTGCAGCATAAATTGGTCCTTTTCTTTTTTTTAACAATAAAACTAACCTCAGTTGTAATTCTAGTCATTCAGTAAAACATGTGGGAATTTGGAGTGTTAAACTATGTGCATAAAAGCAAAACAAAGGCTTGTTTTGCTCCAGTATTTCTTCAACTTGTGCCCTCATCATGGCATCGCCTGAGTGCTTCTTTTCATATGTACCCATAACCGTGAGTCCCAGCAGCAGGTTGTGTGTGTTGCGGCTACAATGGCCAGCATCTTTATACGCAATCTCTGTGTTGTCATCTCGCTGGTTTTCTTTCTCCTTCTCCTTGTTTGCGTTGGACTGGTTGGCTGTCGGCTGGTTTGTCATCCTGTCTGTGAGGACAGTGGAAAAGGTGGGTTTTAGTGCTGAATGACGACGTGCTTTGGAAAGCAAACTGCAGCATCTCATAGCAATGCTGATTAGCTTAGACTATAAATGTTTAACATAGCAAGGGTAGACTAGCAAGGCTTCACACTTTACCGCTGGGGGTGGTCGAGCCTATTTTTCAAAGGGGATTAGTGAAAACCAGAAGCACCTAAGGCTCACACAACAGGAATGTCCTGTGAGGATTTGGTTTAGGTTCTAAATGGAGGTAAATGTGCATAACTGAAGGCAATCCAAACACAGCAGGCAAGGCCTAAACAGGACATGAAGAAACAACTCAAGAGATGTAATCTGTTCATCATCCTTTAAATGGAAAATGATGAAACTGCCAGACTCCAAATACAGCACAATATGGAGGTGATAGAAGATAGAGGAACAGATTTAGCTGATTAGTGAGGTAAAGTGAGGTAAAAAATGACCCCCTAGAAGCAATAGGATGTGAACCCTGGATGTGTTACACGCTCTGAATGAAGCCCTGTGTACAGTGAAAGCATTTGTTCAGGTGTTTTTGATGTTTATCACCTACATTTCTCTTAAAACAGAAAGATAAGTCAAATTCATCTATAACTTTGCTTAATGTGCACCATCTTTTCTGATGGATTTATTAAACTGAAAAGATTCTGTACAAACTAATCAAAGGAGCTTGCAAAGAAAAGCGTCTGGACTTCTTTAAGTTACTTGAAGACATTTCACCTCTCATCCGAGAAGCTTCTTCAGTTCTAAGGTCAAATGGTGGAGAGTCCCAGATATAAACCTAGTGGGAGTGACCCCCCACAGAGGGACAAAAGGACCCCCTGATGATCCTCTAATCGCCTGAGCCAAGGTGTGAGTTCATTGTTCACCCGAAACTCTGGCTGATTGGGACCCACACCCAATTTCACACCTTGGCTCAGGCGATTAGAGGATCATCAGGGGGTCCTTTTGTCCCTCTGTGGGGGGATACTCCCACTAGGTTTATATCTGGGACTCTCCACCATTTGACCTTAGAACTGAAGAAGCTTCTCGGATGAGAGGTGAAACGTCTTCAAGTAACTTAAAGAAGTCCAGACGCTTTTCTTTGCAAGCTCCTCTGACTACGATGACCTGGATGACTGAGAACCTTCACAGACATGTACAAACTAATACACAACTAATAATTCAATTTAATTCAATTTTATTTATATAACACCAAATCACAACAACAGTCGCCTCAAGGTGCTTTATATTGTAACTCAACAATAATACAGGGAAAATAGAGAAAACTCTAATAATCACATCACACCCCTTCAGCAAGCAAAAACTCCTTTTTAACAGGAAGAAACCCCCGGCAGAACCAGGCTGAAGGATGGGCAGCCATCTGCCGTGACCGGTTAGGGGTTATTCAGTTATATAGAATATTATCACGTGACACTTGGAACACTGGTGCTTTGAGACCAGCAAATAAAACAAGAAAGTTGAATCGTATCCGTTATCTGGACTTCCTAGTAACACCGAAGTCCCGAAGTGCTGTCTGTTGCCCAAGAAGTTAAGATAGCTGACTAACCAATACATTTCCAGACTGATCAAATATTTTTCTGGATAAATGAAAGTTTACCTGCTGATGTTGCTACAAAGATAGCAGGAGGATCATTAATGTTCTGAGGCCTGTCTTCATAAGTGATACAACTCTCCTAACCCTATATTTTAGAGAAAGATAACACAGATTTTTTGGGAAAAAGTCTCAATACTTTTAGATGTGTGTCAGTTAAAATGATTACTTTCTTTTTCTTCTTGATTAAGGGTTAGGGGTTGTCAAAGATGATGACTCACAACTCAGAGGGTCAATATTAATGCTCTGGGCACCATTTGATATCTGAGTGAAAATTAATGGCAATACATCAAATACTTGTTGAATTACTTCATAGAAAGCTGTCACGGTCAGGAGCCTGCTAAATGAAAAGTCTAGGGATTAACAGAGTCCTTCAAAGACTGTGAATGTCTGCATCCATCCAATAGATATTTAACCTGGACCGAAGTGCAGGAATGATGTCAGCATTACCACATGGACAGCATTACTAAAAAGAGTAATTTGATAATAATGAAATCCAAGTGTGCTGTCTCTATAAATCCAAATCACACCTACAATAATTCAAATCTATCTATCTATCTATCTATCTATCTATCTATCTATCTATCTATCTATCTATCTATCTATCTATCTATATCTATCTATAGATAGATATAGATATATATAGATATATATAGATAGATATAGATAGATAGATATAGATATAGATAGATAGATATAGATATAGATACATATATAAAGCAGAGTTATTTCCATCAAAACAATGAGTCATGGAGGAAGAATGTGTTTGCTGTCCAATAACACGACGCGTTTCCAGTCTACCAAGAAAATTTCAGAGACCCCACCGCTACCATCTCTCAACATTAATTGTACATAAACACATCTGGAGAGCAGCGCGGTCGTGCCAAATCCCTGTCACAAGTATGAGCGTCACATTTACAAACAGTCTGACTCAATGAGAGTCTGACTCAATGAGATAGCTGCAATCAGACATCATTATAATCCATCAATTTGAGCAGATGGCATACAGTCGTATACATTAACCAAAAGAACAATACACAAGGGAGGATGTGTAAAAAGATACCTACTGCTTTATGTGCTCACTACCACACTCTCACCTCCTGCTCCCTCTGGCCATATCTCTGCCCCTTTCTAGTCTGTGACTGTGTCCAGTCCAAGCACCAATTTGGATTTCCAGAGTTATCCCAAACTGGTGCGTATCAGGGCCGGAGAACGCCCAGCCAAGTTTCAATTGCAGAGATATAATCCTCGGTGAATGGAGTACCGAGGAGAGGAGGGGGAGGGTGTTCCTCTTAATAGTCTTCACAAATCCTCTTTTCAATCCTTATGCCATTCTTAGCATGAACATTGTTTGGTAATGTCAGCTGACCACATGCAATTTGCTTGCGTATGCGAATGAGAATAAGAGAAAGACGTCTCTCACCTTTTCATCAGTGTTTACGACAACTGTCCGCTCCTTGTGTGGATTTAAATGACCACAGTAGGCGGAAAAAATTGAGCCCAAAAAAGTAAAAGTTTCAAACTGAGATGTGACCAGCCTACAAAAGGGGCTACTGCGAAGAAAATGAATGAGTAAAGTTTACTTTTTAAACAGACAAGAAAAACCAAAAATCCTGCTGAATGTGAAAAAGACTAATACTATGAGAATAACAATATCTCTCATCCTCTCCTTTCCTGATAAGAGACCTTGAAAAAACTAATCAACAGCATGTATCCTGAGATGAGAGCGGCAGTGATGAGTGTAAGCTGCAAAGACATCCTCAAGGACCTGATGCGGTGCTGCAAATCTGTCTTCCTTCCCCAACAGAGAGATTTCCTGCTCCAGGAAATGTCAGCGCTGCCTCAAGACAAAATGTATCTGGCCTCTAGGAAGCAACTCTTGTTGGGCTGACCTGCTGCTTTTCAACAGAGGAAAACTGAGACCATTTACAGTTTGGGAAGATTAAATTTGACTCCTTAACTTTCTAAAGTCTTGCCTGAAAAGCCCTAAACAGAATACAGAGCGAAGGCCATGCACCACATGGAATTTCTGTTACATCACGAATAAAATGCAAGAATTCAAGTCAGTGAATTCAGTTTGGTCAGCCAGCTTACAGTAATCCAGGATTTCAGAGCAACATGACACAGGTATTACCAGTCTGCCAGGTAGGCTGCAGACATGGGCGCATATTCCTTTGAAGAGAGAACAACTTTAAATCTTTGCAAGAGCTCTGGAAACACATGTTAGTGATAAGTGCTGAAACACAGCGGTAAAGGAAGAGGGACTTCAAAGCGAGTGAAGCCAGAGCAGAAATAAAAAAATAAAAGAAGCACTAAACCCTGCTGGTACAGTAGTGATAGCATTGCTGTTTACATGCCCTCTTTGCGAAATACAGACACCAGACAGAAAGCCTCCCACAGTGACTTTCAGAGTAATGGCGACTGGATAAACATGAGTTCCCTCAGCGTAAACACTGCGGTCATCCATCTGATGTGTGATGATGACCTGCGCAGCGCGTGACAACCATCACAATCGGTCTTCACATGCGGTCATGCACTTACGACACATCTTCTTAATCGTCATGGCTTCCAGGGCGACGGGTCACCACGCCAGAATGAGTTAATCTCCCCAAAGAGCGAGCTCTGATTACTGTAAATGAGCCCAAGCAGCTGTAGATAAAAAGGTGCGCGTACAGCTCGAGAGAACTACCTCAGTTTCTGTCGCAGGCTCGTCAACCCCCCTCCTCATTTCCACCCATAGTCTTCCACATAAATAATCCGACCGTTCGATCACAGACGTTGATCCAAAAGATCAAACAGATGCAGCTCTAACTCCCCGAGCTTAACGTTCACCGCGTACAAGCTTTTTGATTTCTTCTAAAACTCAACATACAAACATGGCTGCCACTAGATATACACAACAAAAATGTACATGTTAAAATCTGAAGTGAGCAACAAAGGACCGTGAATAATCGATTTGGCCATTTGACATGATAAAGTTGTTGTAGTCACGCAAACTATTGTTGTAAAGTGAACTTCTCTTGGTTTTTAAGTGAGTAAATGTGAGAATGTCACCTTCGCTTCTACGCAACTTTGATATATAAACTGTAGGAGAGGCTCAACTTTTTAATGCAACGAACATGAACTATAAGAGAACTTCTGCATCCAGATGGGATCACTGTGTGACGGCATGTAAACCGATCAAAGGTACGCGTCTCCTGCTAAATCACCTGATTCACTGGTGCTTTCTACACAGACTAAATTCCCATCAATAATTATTTTGTTCTTTCAATCAAGGTTCGCATTCAAATTTACAAACATTCGCATTCAAATAGTGTATCCACGTAAAGATTTTCTGTGTGTGGATGTTACAAATATACGCTGTATTTTATTTTAAGGAACCATCTGTGCGTGCATGTGTGTGTATGTGTGTGTAACTCCGGGTGTGTACGGGTGTGTCAGAGGATTATGTCCAATGGTTGATTGTTTGGTGTGAGCCTTGCAAACGGATCGAGATATAATCCCCATCCCGCCCCTCCACCACCCTTGTTCAGCAGAGGGAGATGAGGATGGCCACTGCAGCAAACACAATAAACTGCACAACACACAACTGCCATCGCATATCTAATAAATGAAAAGATCTGGGTGTGTTATCCTGTTAGCACCATTATGCAATATCACAAAAATGAATGTGTTGTACTGTTGTAGCTGGTGAATGTTTTTGGGTTTTTTGCATTAATCAATGATCGTCTGGTCAGTTACATGACAGAAAATCAACCAAATAACATGAAGTCTTCCTGCTACATAAATGGAAAAAAACAGCAAAGTCACAGATTTGAGAAGATGACATCATCTTACAATCTGTCTCTCACTTAAAATGACTATAAAGGTTCAAATTTGTTTTAAGCTCATAAATAATTAACTCATCATTTCACCTCTGGGTCATCAGGATAAATGGAAACTGCTGATTACTTTTCAACATTCCTAAACATACATTTTAGCTCAAAGTTTCAAAGACCTTTTCAAATCTTCTTTCTCCTTTGAGTTTGTGACCATGATGGCGTTCCACGACAGAAAATCACCAGAACTGTATTAAAAATACACTCAGCATTTTTCTTTTAAGTTGGGTTACATTTATTTGAGCATAAAATACATTTTTGTTCATTAAACAGACAGAAAAAATAGGAAAATGCACAGAAATATCTGAGTATTGTCTTAACTATATAAACTTTGAGACTGTTTCAATTGACTACAATTTAAACTGTTAGCAGTCGGACGTACCGCCCACGGGACATTGGATGGTTTAGGGGACTAATAGGACTGCTAAGGGGTTAATTTGTTATAACAGCAGTTTATAACAACTGTAGTCTTTTATGTTGAAAGGTTCAAAGATGAGACACACTCCCTTGAACAACACTTGGCAATGCTGTCGAGGAAGGCTGCCCTTTTAATAGCAAGAAACTTGAGGCAGAACCAGATTCAGCCATCTGCCAAAGACCAATTTTGAGCCTTAAAAACCTTGAAAGTCGTTTAACAAAACATCAGGTGGTCATTTGTATTGCAAAGATCTAATTTTACCTTGCAAAACATGAACTGAGCTGTAATTCACATTTGATTGCTGCTTTCAAACATTAACCCTGGTGGGATAAGATTGCCTGCTTCTGCTGCTAACACATAATTGTAAAGCTGCACAATAACAGTTACACTCAAAGACAAGAGATAACGCGCACATGCTGCACCGCAAAAACGCCGTAACGGCCTTCTCTCCCTACAGACACCCATATTCTAGATATCAGCGATGACAGATACACAGCACGAGTGTCCGTGCACTTCAAAGCAGAGCGCTGCCAAACTCCTTCAACATATGCACAACTGCCTTCAAACACATGCCTGGTGTATGAGTTTACCAGATCGCAAAAGCAGCGGGGTTACAGTCAGTGAAGGTCAGTGTCGAACACATCAGGTCTGTACACACACACACACGTGAGCGCACATGGGTCTAGATGCTGCCTCTTGACTGTTTGACAGTGAATAACAGGAAACTTTTGATACTAGATAATCAGATTCAGCACCGAATTTGGATTTGATGAATGCTGTCTAATCCAATGGCTTCTAGTGCACAAAGATATCTCACTTGCATTTCCTGTCAGTTCACACAAGTTGAAGATCACCAGTAGAATGAAATTAGGCATGTCAGGAGCAGGCTCTGGATAATATTTCAGAAGTGTCCTGAGGTTAATTCAAAGGAAGTCAAGGATGTGACAAGCTGACATCAACAACTAACACTTTATGTCTCAGGCCTATCTGTTGGACAGCGTTACATATACAATAACAAGAAGAAAATCCCAACGTCTCAGAAGATACAAACAATAAATGTGGCAGCGTTATTTTGCTAAGATGTAAGAATAGGTAGAGTGAAAATGAGAGAAAAGACTTGAGTTCTTGTGTGTGTGGTGTTGTCTGCATGTGCGTGTGCGAACACATGTCAACACACAGACACAGACACGCACCCCCTCCCCTCCTCTCTCACGGACGATAATCTGAGTGCATTAATCTGTTGTTTGAACTCCTTAAGCACAGACTGTCTATCACATCTGCTCTCTTCACCCCAGTAAAGCTCTGCAGTTTATAAACTCCCTTTTTCTCCTCTCGCTCTCCTTCCTTCTCCTGTCTTTTCCTTTTTTGATCTGTCGTCGCAATTTCTCTATCGCCTCCAGCAGGACTACATTTAACACAGCTCATTCCCTTCATACAGTAAATCCATCTTCTCATTTGGCCACCAGACCTTTTTGGAAACTTCTTATTCCAGCTTTGATCCCTCTCTGATCCCTCTCTGATCTTTCTTCCTCTTACTCACATCTGATAAAACATGACAGGGCCCACATGTTGAAAAACTGAAAAATCACCCAAACCAATGTCTTTAATGAAATAAAAGCCCAAAACATTCACAATCTTTGCACAAAAAAAGATGAAACAAACCATTAATGTGTCTGGAATTAAACACTGAATAGTCACAAACGATACAAATTTAGCGCATGTGCGCGAGGCGTGAATGATTGGAGAGGAGAATATAAAAAAATGACAACCAGGAGACGGACGAGCTTACCTGCTGTCTGTCGCTGTCTCCCTTCCGACAAGAGCGAGGCATCGGGAGAGACACGCAGAGCAGGGACGTGGAGATGATGAAGACGAAGAGGGGATGGGAGGCGAAGTCACAGTCTTTGCGTCATCTGAGGAAATTTGCAGATTAATACAACAGCTTGATGCTCTGAGCCCCTCTCCTCCCCCACCTCACCCCACTGCATCTCACCCTCACTCCCATCTCCTCCCCTCCCTCCTTTCTCTCAGCCTTCATGACTGTATCTATCACAAGCCTCTTTTATATCACTTTGGTTACACTTTTGGGGAATGCACGGGACAGGCGAGAATTACCAGTGACAACGATCACACGGAAGGTGGAAGATAGATGCGAGAAACAACTTTAAAATGATTATGGAAATTCTGCAAGTTAGGAGTTTGGGGAGTTTGGGGGGGGGCATCATTATCCTCCCTTCCACAGGAGGGTGCTATGACTCTTCACTGAATGGAAGAAACCTGCTCAGCAGCTTCCCCCTGAGGCATACATTGACAGATATCAGTGTCAGTCGGTGAGGCCTCAAAGTGCATGGGGGCTCAAGGGTGGAGCTGCTACATACTGCACATACAAGGGTCAGGCTTTTTCCATGAACTGTGACACTTTATCAATACACGGAGTTAGAAATAAAGTGATAAAGACGATGAGAAGTTTCAGGTTTGTCATTCCAGAGCGCTGCGTCGTAAAGACTGGAGGCCCGAGGCTTTATGGGTGG